CGGTATTATGACATCAAAGCTATGATGACCATTTAAGTGGGATAGAAACATTTGCCAGAGATTTTAGAATATTTCTAAGATCTATGCATTCGTATCGAAGGGCAATATCGAGTTGCGGAATGTCGACACACCGATGGATTATTGCCTAAAATATGGATATTGAATTGCATCAGACATCGCTTCAAATAATAGCACATGAAATAGGCCGATCGGGAAAATACGCGGTGGTTGATGATTCGAACACATAGATGGCCCCCGTGTTCTACTGCTTACACTACAGCGTCGATAATACTTTTTTTTCCGGATAGAGGTGCATTGGTGATTTCAAAGTCCTTTTTATTACATCATTGTGTTACCGTTTCGTTGTTTTTTTTTTTTGACGTAAAAATCGATACAGGAACATTGCCTTTTTTAGGGACTCTGGACCATTGTTGCCATTGTACTATTGTTACACCAGAAGATTTCCTACGGAATCTCACGAAACACTTTTGTACAGCTTCGTGTCAATGGTATCGAAAGTGATGGAGTTACGTCGTGAGCCGAGGGCAGTCAGTTGAACCGTCGATATTTAATCCGTTGTTCGAAATATCGATAGTTCTCGGTATTTGTGACACGGCTCCGTGTATACCATTTTCAGCGTGTATAAAAGGAAGCCCTGGAAACGCTTGGTTCAACAGCCTCTCATTCCGTGAAATTTTAAAAGGAAATTAAAACGTGTCGAGGGCAAAGCCAGCGGCGCACACTGAACGAACAAGTAAAAAGTCCGCCTCTGATTGACACGTTTTCGTTGCTTCGTGTGTCAGCTTGATCTTTGTTTCTTGCCTCTTTGTTATACACGTGGTCCCGTTCAATAATATATTTTAAATTTAATAGAATATATTTTAATGGGACAAATGAGCTTATATACAGGATGAGTCAGTAAGAATTATTGTCTAAAATAACTCGTCACCTATTATTGGTTTTACGAAGACACGTTTTAAATGGATTATATTCCATTTAACGGGATTCATGGAATAGATGCAATATGATTTTTTCATATCTTGTATTTTCGGAGATATCAGAATTTTTCTCTCAGGAACTTTGAATATATTATGTTTGGTGACCACGCTTCAAATTGAAGTTAAAAAGGGATAGCTGAGGTATAAAATACACTGTCAAGTTTACCCATACAAGCAACAGATTTCTACTTTTAAAAAAATTTTTTAAAACTGGGATTCGTTCCACTGTGCCCCCTGCTGGGGTTACAATATAAACGACTTGGATCAACATAGGTTACAATCATAAGTTTCTATGACACAATAAATTACTTTTAGCATATTTTTATGCTCTATAAAAACTAATGAACTTTTACCCTAGCTCCCACTATTGATCTCTTAAAAAAGTAACGTTTCGATAATCCGACAACCCCAAATCCGCAGTGAAAAGTCGTCAAAACCCAAATTCTCATAAACAATTAAGCATTACAGTTCAGTTTATCTCCAGATCTATTCTGATATACCAATCGTCACGTCTTGTCTTGTTCTTTCTAAGCAACGTAAAAGACAAGAAACGAATGAAGGATATTCGATCAGTGCAGCCTCCGTCGTTGTCCTTGAACGCTCGATATAACGTGTTTGGTTGGACAATCGACCCATCCTCCGATATCTTCCGTTCCATCTGATCATCCGTTCGCGTCACGTTCTTCGCCGGTGCTTTAACACGGTTCACGTCCCGAGGCTTCACCGATATCTCCCGATACACACGGGGAAATTGGGTGATCGACACCAGGTGTATCTTCCCCGTCGATTTAATCCCGGCTGTTCTCGGTACGGAATAAAGTCGAACGCTGGTACGAGTCACTCGACAATCTCACCCCACACTCACCCCATCTATCCCCAGTTTATTTTGTGTTTCCACAGCCAAGCAACGCTCTGTGTGCACAATGGTTACGCTTACCTGATTCGGCTGGGCCATGATACTATGGTCGAGTGACTTCGCGATACCCCAGACGGCGATGAACAGGATTGGCATACCTGGAAATTGTATGGACACGGTTAGGGCTTGGGGAATTTCATTTTCAGCAACGGATAAAACGTCGAAACATAGAATTTTTCGTCGTTATTGAAGTCGGATGATAGTAGTTGCTCGTAGTTCGTAAAGAATGTTACCTTCTGTACATTTGTACCACTCGACTGACCGTAGGCGAGTAATTCTACTTGTCTGACAATGAATGGTTTCTTCTACTTGTTCTGATATTGAATGATCTCCACTTGATGTAGTTTATTGCCCGTTCCCCTTGTCTGACCGTGTACGATATATTCTGTTTGCTTGAAATTAACGACCTGTTCTACTTTTCCTGACAATCGATGATACAGATTTCACCTGTCTGCCTATGCAGTAGCTATCCCATTTGTTTGACGATCGGTGATATATTCTCTTTTATTTGTCAATAGAGGATTTATTCTACGTGGCGGATCATGGTCCGCTTATTCTACTTGGCCGTTTCATGGACCACCTGCTCTACTTGTCTGACCACGGTACACATATTCTACTTGCCTATATTCAAGGGACAATTATTCTATCTGTCTGTTCATTATTTTGCATGGAATTTTCTTCCTAGTTTGTCTTATTAAAAAAAAACGTGAGAACAAGAACCATGACCTCTTACCCCAGCCAATGACGATGCATAGTCTCAGTTTGATGTTGTCCGCAGTGAAGGTTTTCACGACCAGCAGGAACAGGTACAGCCCTGAAACGGAACGGCGCGTTCACTCGGGTACGATACATAATTCATAGGGGAAAGTGAGCTATCGAACCGCCACGTCGCTCCATTAACCCGTTCGACCGTTCACTATCGTTAGTTCGTCGCGTATGAACTCTTCATTTACGCGAATGATATGCGACGCAGGTCGGGACGTCGGGTTGCATGGAAACCTGAAAGTAATAATAATAATAAGAGAATTTATTCATACAAATGCACCAGTCTCAGCAAAGTTTGCGCGTAATTACTTAAAATACTAGCCGTCGTCCTTCTCGAGAATGGAAAGTCCATTGAGAGAATAGTGAAAAGGAAGAGGAAAAAGTTTCTCTGCCGTCTCGAAGGTTTGTTATCCTTGTTTCTGAACTCTTTATCTTTTATCTCTGTTCGCAACTCGACACTTTGTAACTTATATAGAAACAATTCAAGGACTAATCCGTTATGTAAAAATATTTAATTATGTAAAAATGTATCAATAATGTCGCTAACAATTTAATCTAATGGATTCTATTAATTAAAGAATACTCTTTAAATAATAGAAGTGACCTGTTAATTTCCTTTCATGAAATATTACAAAATGTTATGTATATGACTAGATTGCAAATTTTATGCAGTTATCGCATAGACGATTGTCCAAAGACTCGGGACAGTTATGCTGTATTTATTCGTGGTTCAGAGGAGAATAAAATAAACACATATACAACTAATACTGTATAGATTACTAAATAATAATACTTTATAGAACACACTAAATTAAAGAGAATACTTTGGATTGAAAACGATATTGTAATACACGTTAACCGGAAGTACGCCTTCCACACTAGGCAAGACAAAAGAAAAGGAACGCCTCCTTTGGACATGAAATGTAAGATATATATCTTATAAATATACGGTATAAAATTACGCCCTTTTGAATAAGTTCAAATTTTTCAGCCTCAAAATTTTCATAAGGTGTATCGTTAAGTGATTATTCCAGGTGATTAAGTTATCTGAGACACCCTGTATAGTGATCTAGCGTTGGCAAAAGGGCTAATCATAGCCAATTAGCCGGAGGAATGTTCTGCAGAGGGAATTTTTGTGCCGTGACGATCGTATTTTCCATTAGTCGCGAAATCTCCGAGTGCGCCGCTAACGAGCCAGCGAAAAGGAAAATTAATTACGGCCGTTGAGTGGCTGTCGGACCTCCGGTTTTTCGATAATTGAAAGACTGACGGGGAACGGTGGAAATCGTTATGCGTTAACGCTATTGAAATCTCCTCCAATAGAAATACATTCGCATATATTGCGAAACGAAACACTGCCGTGTCGCCGCCATCTTGGATGGTCGGCCATTTTGAGATTTTCACTCAACGTATTTTTTCGATGAACCTGAAGATTTTTTTAAAACAGATCTCAATCATTCGTTAAAAAGTAATTCATAAAAACGTTAATTCGTTGATCGTAAATTCTCGAGACGGCCCAAGTTTTCCTTCTTCGAAGAAGAGGATAATTTTGTGTTTCAGCAACAAGTGGCGCGAGTTTCGCTCTCTGGTGACACTTTTTTTTCAAGTTAAAAGCTTTTGAAACTCTGCCCGCCCGCCCACATCCCCCACCCGCCGTGGAGCGCTCTTGTTTTTTTTCATTAACGCTCGAGAGGGCAACCGATTCACGCCGACAAGTGAATGTCCTCTTCACGTGACAAAGTGCCGGACAATTTGCGTTAATGAGGCGAAGGAACGAAGAATGGTCCTTTGAAAACGAGCTCGAATGTACTCGGTGTATTTACCTGCATCACGTTGTTCAGAATCCACATCAGATCCGCCAATATGTAGGTGAACATCAGGTTCGTGTGGATGTTGTTCTTGATGCAACGCAGCTCCCTGAAACACATGTTATTAATCCTTAGTAGTAACAATAAATTTAAATAGGAATGCTAACGTTTCGTATTCTGGTAATAATAATCGGTGTGAATATTGATTGACACTAGAACCACCAAAGCACTGAAACTATTAATCCTTTGCACTCGGAATTGTCTAATTCCCCATAGATTTTAACTATTCCGTCGTATCGTGGATAGTACTAACTTCTTCCCAGATAGCGCATGACGCCCAATGACGCCTTGAAGACGGCTTAAAGACGCCTTGGACCTAAAACAGCCGTAAAATGGGCGTCTTCAAGGCGTTACACGCTATCTGGGTTTTGGGGTTCATTTACACAATATTAATTCTATTTTTGTCAGGCACATAACATGAATATGGTGCTCGTGTTTCGTGAAATTGGCCACTGATTTATCGCGAGAGATACTCTACAACTTCGCGAATTGTCTCGCGGCAAAGTTTCGCGAAAATAAGAGGAGATTTGTAATACCGTCGGCGGTCGGGCCCCTCTATAAATCCGTCCCATTAAACTACGAGTTTTAAGTAGTTTGATCCCCAGTTTTGTCGCTCGCGAGAACCAAGATAAACGACGCTGTGCACACGCAGTTACCAGTTGCGCGAAGTAATTTCAGCCAGGGGCCGAGTTATTCGAAAACGTTCGGCTGTCTGTCGCTCGTGAAATTGTTTGGACAAGCGAAACGGGCCGCGGACACGCTTGCTATCGGGCCTGCCACTATCGAACTGTCGACGTTTACGCAAATTTCCATTCTCATCGATCCGCCCGCAATAACGTGGAATCAGCGAGAAACTATACTTCGTCTATTCAGAGGCTTCCCGAAGTTTCCACCAAAAAGGTTTTGCAGGTAGAACCGTAAACAATCTACTATACAGTGTCGGTAAAGTAGATGGTACAGTTTGAGTTCGGAGTATAAGTGTTTTTTAATAGATTCCCTATTTACTTCATCATTTTCGTAAAGAAAAATTGTCAAAAAATAGCTTCCATTGTAGGGCTCCAGGGGGAAGGGGGTACTCCTTAAATTTCGTTCAGAACGAAAGAACGATTACCTGAAAATCGCTATCTTTGGACGGTCTCTCATTATTACAGTATATCTTCGATGAATGTTCGAAGACACCTAGACAGTGAACATTAATTATTTTATAAACTACTGTCCATATGCTGAAACAATATCTGAATCTCCTCTTGTCAATGTCGAGGAGCCTTCGAACACTCATCGAGGAATCGCTGTAGTTCGGATAATGGAGGTTCAACGACAGTGAGGTTCATCGTGATCGTTGGCCAGGATTCTCCAGGCGTCGGACGATGAAATTTCTTTCCCCTCGGAGCGTGATAATTTTTCTCGATGAGAATGTACGGTCCGCCAACGGTGCTTATTTATTATTCCGGAGTAACTGCCGCGCGAGAACGTTCCGCGCGTGGAAATAGAGCGGAAAACTCGGGGTTGGGGGCGTTGCCGCATATTTATTTCAACCGCGAGCTAGGAGGTTCGCTAACAAGCGCCCTCGAATGTCCCCCATCCTCGAAATGGGAGTAATTTGCAGAGGGTACGCGGGCCAAGACGGCGGGATAACGACGGTTAAGCCTCTTTCGCGCCGTTGCACGTGAATGAGAAGCTGAATACCGTTTGGGAGGGAGGAGAGGCCAGCAACGAGATTACAGAGAGCAATGGACACAAAGAACAATGGTCGATGAGATCGATCTGGATGGACCAGGAGGTTCATTATTGTGAAAAGAAGTTGACATTTTATAGCTCCCTGTAACTCTCATGGGCGTAGTTAGGTTTTCAGTGGAGTGGGGGCAATGTAATTTTTTCCCTTCGAGAACGGGGCGAAATTCGATTTTTTTCTTGCAGGGGGAGGGGGCAAAATCCAATTTAAAAAATTCCACGTTAAGTTTCTGTGACAAGAAATATTTTACATCGCTTAAAATTCAAATGAATTTGATATATCTCTGTAAACAAAATTCTAATCATTCTTGCTATACGTTAGATATTTGAATGCAGGTGTCATTCCTTTAAACTTGGTTTTTTGGGTATTACAACATATGTGAAAACGAAAAAAAAATCGGAGGGGGACAGCTACCTAGTGTTCCTTGTAAGTCGAAGTTATTCCAACCTAACTAAACTAAAATATTTATGAATTACCTGTAATGCACAAAAGTATGTTTGTTATCGTTGAAAATTGGTGTACTACAGAAAAAGGCAGCCTTGCAACACGTGATGGTTCATTATACACCACGGTCGATCTCTATTTCTCTCTTATAGCGAAGATATTTCTGTTACTCTTATTCCGTAAACTTTCACACAATGGCAAAAATGGTAACTGATCGTCGACTACGTGATTTACTATTACACACACATACACACACGAACCGACCAAGAAATTTATGCTTTTGTTAACACTACGGATGTTCTGCCTTTAGCTGTTCGTGTCACGCGTTCCCTATTCACCGTGTTCGCGTTCAGAACACGAGGTACTATTCCATTTGTAAGGGTCGTTACGCATAATGTTTCTCGCGGGAGTTTACTACCGTCTCCCTGGCAATTCGTCTACTGTTCCCGTTTTGTCGTTTACGTTTATCCTTTGTCTTACCCTGACCTCATTATCCACTCGACAGTATACATTCATAACGTTGATAAAAGGAATAAACAGTGTTCCCTAATTTAAACTAAACACAGTTTTACACTTCAAAATATGTGAAAAAATGTTTTTAGATTGGACCCCATTCAGTTTTCATAATTACGACACTCCTTCACATTACGTTATCTGTAATTTGTAGATTATCTGTCAGACGACTGTACCGAGCACTGAACAATTAGGTACTGAAGCCATCGGTGACTCCTCTCCTAACTCGTATAACCCAAACAAAAATGGCTGCCAGGCTCCACCGTTTATTTTGAAGAATACTTCAGGAGATTCATGGGCGTAGTTAAAATGCACTTGCCCACCCTGCTCCCACTCAGAAGGAAAAATGTGGCCTTTGCCATACCCTGGAGGGGAAAAATTTAATTCTCCCAACGCCTCCCCCCTAGAGAAGAAATATATTATATGAATTAATATTTTGTATGTAAAAATAAATCTAAAATTCATTCAAAGTAATATTTTGTAATATTCACAAAATAATTCTTAATAACTCATGCCCCTGAATTTGAATACAGGGATTTCAATACAGTGATTATTTTGTAAATATTTCGTTAGCAATCAGGTTTAGGGCGTATGAAGATCAACACATTTTTACTCAGAATTTGATACTCTATCGATCCATGGTACAAGAAATAGGTAATTACGTTAATAAAAATCAAGGTGACCTTGAAATCTCTGAAATGCCTCTACCCACAAAAAAATGAAGTCATTATTCGAGGTGAACAAGTTAGCTGAGACACTCTGCAAAGATTCTTTTGGAACATTAAAATGAAATCCTGCTGGAACATCGATAGTAAGACCTTACTGATTATAATTTTTCAGATTTAAAGCATGTTTATTTTTTATTTGAATGACTGCTACAAATTAATTGAAAACTGACCCGAATCTACCCATTCCTTTACAATTCGGAAGAATCCAGGATATAAATCGACAGGTCATGATTACATGGCGGAAATGTTGAATTTCCAAACAGGTTTGTCCGACGAACCGGACGGGCGCATTGTACAGTCCGATTAATAATTTACACCTGTTGGGATCCACGGATTCCGCGTCGGAAGTTTACGTACTCGAAATATCCCGGAACGGTGCTTAATAAAATATCCGACGTTACATGTATCCGACAGGTACTCGCGTGTGTTTCTCCCCTATGGCCTTAAGGCTCCGTATTTTCGAAATTGCCGTTTCCCCTTTGGCCATTAGTCTCTGACCTCGAAAGCTAAAGGCAGGGATACCTCGACTCGGTTCCCCTGGATAATCAGCATACTCGTTGACTCTTTTACCTGTTGCAGGGATAGATTTCACCTTTTCGATAATATATACACTGAATAATTTAATGGAAAGATCTATCACAGACACTGTCGTTGACCCTCGACCTGAATCTTCACCCCTTCTAGGATCTTTGGGGACTATTTGGGCACAATCAGACCTTGGACGTGTCAAGGAATCTTCGATCACTCATCGAGAATTTACTCTACAGTCTCGTTTTAATTCTCAGATATTCGTATCAGAACTCCAGAATTTCTACAAACATCCGTAGTTTAATTATCACTTCGAGAAGTTCCCTTGTTTGTTTTTCATATAGAATCCACTCTGCGAAAGTGTTTGAAATTTTGTATTAAAATCCTCTGAATATGAAATAGATTCCATCGATAATCGATCGAATATCGCGAATTGTCGTTCGTTTCATGTCGTCCCGATGGGGTTTTCGAGTCCATCTCGCATTAAAATGTCGCACAAGGAAGACCAAGAATAGGATGTTTCCGCGGTCGTGAGATCGAGTTCGCGAAATGTATGTAGCTCGATTTCCCGTGTGGAAACGCAAAGGTTCCAGCCGACTGCGACGGTTTAATAAATGATCAGAGGCACGGCGAGTCACGTCGGAATGTCGTTTTCTTCCTCGTTAAGGGAGCAACGAGAAAGTTTCTGCTCCCACGGTCTTTGACTACGCAATCGATCTCTCCCCTTTCCCTCATCGGTTGCATATGCACATCGGAGGGCCAATTTCGTTAGGAAGTCTACCATCGATTTTCCGGACTGGGGAACCAGTTGCGTACGGTAACTACGTTACGACGAGAAATATTCAGAATTTTCCGACTGATGGGATTACGGACTACTGATCAGAATTCATTTATTTGGTATTCATGGATTAACCTTTTCAGTCTGAAGGTAACAATCGATCAATTACCCGTGTTACTTGTGAAAAAAGTGCGTACTATAACGATTTATCGGTTTTCGCCTTTTGTAATTGACTTTCGACGATAATAATTTCATTCTATTATATGTATAGTATGCCCGGTTGATGTGCATACCATACAAATATATAAGTTATTTGATTTTATGGAGCAAATATAATAGGATTTTTTCATTTTTTTTAATTGTTATTTATAAAGACTTTAATAACAATGTTATTTTTCCAAGTGGATACGATGTATTTGGTTAGGTCTCTTTGAGTAATAATATCACAACAATTCCGTTGTTTCTTGTCTCGCGGATACACGTTATGGGCAAAAGACGCTAACCGAACTTGAGAAATTATTCTTGGAACAGAATTTTCAAATATGTTGTTGAAACATGAATTATTTATTCAAATGCGAGACACCATACTTTTGAACGACCCTATATACGTACGCTGCTTGTAAATTTTCTACCGCCTATTCGAACACACCACGAAACGAAATTAAAAGCAACACATTTTCGTGGCTGTTGCCTACGTTAACGAAACAAGGCGTGAAAATACGGGCTGTTTAACGCTGTAAACCTTCACCCCTGATCGAGGCGAGTGCAGTACTGTTTTATTCGAATTATTTTTTCCACGGTGCGTGGTACATATTGCACGGCTAATTCACGCAAAGTCCAGCCAGAGTTTTTATCAGTGGCGCGTGGGGAGTTTTATTCTCGTATTTATGACCATCTACCGCGTTAGGAAAACACTCCTGGGAGAGAAACGGTTTTCCCTCTTGTGGCGATGATAAAAAGCTGAAAACGATTACGGGTCTACATGTGACGCTTCGTTATGAGGGGCGATTTTTGACAAACAGGCGAACTTAACTTCCCTAGTGTATATGTAGCTTAATATTCGCGAACTAACAGTTAAATATAACTTACCAATACCGATAACAATTAACAGATAAACAGATTAATCAATTACTACAGTATACCATTGAAAATATTATTCCCATGCTTTCTTTCCTCTAAACTTATAGTAGTAAAGGTGCGTATCCACTAAGGCACAGGTAGGGAAAATTGATGATCAATTTTTTCAATTGAATACCGATTACCTGATGGTCAACTTACTACAATTAGTTCGTATAAGCCGAAAGATATCAATACCCTTTTCGTGGTTCCTATTTGAACACGCACAAAGTGAATACGCGGCTTTACCACCATTCGCCTTGAACCAATACATCGCGAGTAAAATTGAAATATTCTTACTTGCAGTAGAGGAATATCGAGACCGCGACGATTAGGGTGAACAGCGAGAGGCTGTAGCCGACGAAATAGATCGTGGTCGAGACGACCTCAGATCCGCCTTCGATCGCTGGTTCGCGTACGTCACGGCACAGGCTGTAGTTCGAATAGTTGCTCCACGTACCGTCGAGCCTGCACCAACGGCTCGCGTTCTCTGCAAGAACAAAAAAGGTCACGGTTTTATTAGTATTCGCGTTTTAATGCCGGACTTTTTCCCGTCGACCCTCGGGAGATGTATAATGACTTTATTACCGGCGAAGCGTGCCCCGGGAACGTCAGACGGAATACCCAATAGGGGGTTTTCCGTTTGCGTAGCGATGGGTTCGAGCTGATCACGAGTTGAACCCTATTTAGCACAGTTTTGAGACTAAAACGTAATTATTAACGATTTGTCTTCTGCGGATCTAGTAATAGGATTTATTATGTCTATGATTATCTAGGAAAAGCTTATTATTATTTTGTTAATTAAGGTAATTTTTAAATTAATTGAAATATCATTAAACGTTTGATTACGGTAAAAAAATACAAAGATGAATTTATATAATAATCATGAATCAATACAGTAACCCAAGACACATAATCTAACAATTCCTATTATTAAATAATAGTTAGATTATGTGTCTCGGCTTACTTCATTGATTAATGGTTATTAATTAAATTCTATTTGCCTATCACGAACATTTGCACATAATATCCATTGAGATATGATAATTTCTTCATGAGCACATACGTGTCAATGAAGAAAAACGCAAAATTCAAAGAATTTTATTAAGTTACAAAAAAGATCGGAGTCTATTCTCGTGACCCTCTGTGGTAATGAAACGCAGAGAAAGCTTCTACGATCTACGATTGTTCCTCTCGCTTGAAACTCTCTCCATCAGCCACGAATCAATATTTCCCCATATGTAACATTTAAATATAAATGTCGAAAGTCCCGTCGCCTGGAGCGACTGGAATCATAGATTTTTCGCGAACAATGCATCCCATGGAATAATGGGCCCCTGCAATGAAAAATCGTTCCTACGCTGTTCGGGCTACTGTATATTGCTATTTGATCTGTTACGATTATTTTACCATTACGAAGAAGAATACTGAAGGTGTGATTAACCTGTCTACCGCCTGTCGATCATAGATACATAATGGAATCCAGAACAATTGGGGCCATTATTGCTATTCCTTCGATTACTTCAGAATTATGTGTAACCTGATCCACCATTCGTGGATCACAGATTGATAACGGCTCCAGTACGACTAGGGTCATTATTACTTCTTTCTTGTCTGATCTAAAATTCTATGTAACCTAATCCACATGTTCATAATGGCTCCAGGATGACTAGGGCCATTATTACTACTTTTTCGTCTGTCTTAAAATTCTCTGTAACCTGGTCTACCATTCGTGGATTTCAGATTAATAATGGCTTGAACTACCAGGGCCATTATTACTACCTTTTCATCTGTTTTAAAACTACGCGTAACTTGAACCACCATTGCTGGATCACAGATTGATAATGGCTCCAGTACGACTGGGGCCACTGTTACTAGTTTTTTGTCTGTTCTAAAATTCTGTGTTACCTGATCTACCACCCCTAGATCACAGGTTCATAATGGCTTCAGTATGACTAGGGCCATTATTACTACTCCTTCGCCTGTTTTAAAATTCTTTGTAACCTGATTCACCATTCGTGGATCACAGGTTGAAAATCGCTGCCCCAGGAGAAATCGTCTAGTGGCACCGCTGCGTGGTATTCGTGGGAACACAGATATATCGGCCGACATTTACATTATTCAGGATCGACGGAGGAAAGTATAATCGATAATATCGGGGAATGGTCCTCAAAATGGAATCGGTCTCCGCACGTATAAACAGCGTTCTTAATTTACATCCGTCGCCGACCCTCGACACGCGGATGATTAATACAGAATCGTGAATGTGACACCTCGGCGGGATGTTCTTCTATTGAATATTCTCTTCCATCTAAAAACAGGCTCTGCGAGTTAACCGAGAGAAACTGGATAAAAAAATTCGAGATGCTTTAATAGGCTACGTTTTCTGCTACGGTGTTTCATTCGACGCGCAGTCTTCGTCACTATTCAAGGAATTTTCTTTAAAATCAAAAACAACAAATAATACGATCGTTTTCTTTTGAAATTTTTTTCGAAAGTAAGTTAGTATTCGGACATTTTAGGCATTAAACTAAGTTCCCGTGGAATTGAATGTAGGTTTGCAAATAAAACCTATTTTTGATGAATATTTATTAGTTTATTTTACAAATAAGAAACTATATCAAAAGTATTTTTAATGAATATTTATTAGTATATTTTACGAATAAGAAACTATATCAAAATCCATTTTTAAAGAACATTTACTAGTTAATTTTACAATAAATGGTCATTAAGAATAGGTTTTGATACATTTTTTTGTTTGCCAACTTATTTACAATTCCAAGGAAAATTCGCTTAATGTCTAAGATGGCCGAATACATTTAAGATCAACTGTATGTCTACTGTATAGCAACAGTAAGCAAATGATAACTTGCGAAAAATTTGCAATGGAACTTACAGGACCATGATAGGTACATATATCATGGTTCACATTAGATGTTACGTTCTCGCATGATAAATGTAGCTTTTCATGGGATGCGATCCCATTACAGGAATGTCAGATTTATGTAACGAGGCTGCATCTTCTCCCTAGATTTTCATCTTATTTCGTGCCTATATATTTTCTTACTCTGTCCTGGGTACTATTAACGTAAAGTAAAATAGACGACGGTATAGCAGCCTGGCTTAAATTACATTAAAACGATAAAATGTAACTAACCATAACCTATTATTCTTCAGTACGAATACCATGTCTTTTGCACTCCACGATACTTAAAAAGATATCTAATATGTACATACATAATGTAGATGGTAAATCAATAGGAACTACCATCCAAAATAACTCGTTACCTATTGGCTGTATCAAGAAACGTTTTAATGAAACATGTAGCATTTTAAGGGACACATCGGATAGATACAATTTGATTTTTCTTGTATCCTACCTTTTTTGAGATATCAAGGTGATAAGTTTTTCAAAGTCAATGCACATTTTTTCTAATGCCATCATGATATAGGTCGTTAAAAATTTGAAATTCACTTATATAATTTTTTCCACCATCTGATTTGTCCCTTGAAACCATTTCAAATACATAAAAAATATTTTTCGTACGATCACAGATAGAGAAGATATTTAGGTGGTCTGTTTTAAGCGGAACACCCTGTGTATTCGTATGTTACACACTATCGCTCATAAATATGTATTAGGACACCTGTCCAATCCTTCCCCATTGTTCGCCCAAGGTTAATAGGATTCCAAAGAAAAAAAAACGTGGTTTAAATGTGTCCCGAACGAGCACGAACGATCTCCTGGCTCGGCGTGGATCCGAGCGTGGTTGTTTCGATGAAACGTCCGTGAAAAAAATTGCTGTATTTTTCGTTCGAACGCGGCTTTATTCGATCGTTGCGTACCCTTTGTGACAGATTCGGGGTTGTCGATGCAGCGTGAAAGGGGGCCGAAAGAACCGCGGATGCGTTCCATTTTCCCCGGTAAAACGCGTACCAACGCAATTGTCACAGGAATATTGAATGATGATCGAAAAGAATTCCGACTAGGGTGGTTCGCAACGGGGTGCTGGAAGGGATGGAGGGAGGATTTTTCAGCGGTCCAACCGACTACGAGTTACTTCTGTCAACGTCCGCCTCCTCTCTGTTACGTTGCCCGTCAAAGGAAACAGTGAAACGGACGAGAATAAATGCAGAATAGAGATTCTCTTTGAAAGGACGATCGAACCGATTCGAAGTAAACAGGTGGGTACCGTGAACGGTAGTTCAGTCGCCGAAAGGAACGAAAGAAAAATATTCTCGTTTAAACCAGCGACAGCTTCCACGTACTGCGTTAAAAAAATTCGATATTGGACAGAGGGGTTCGATCCTTTTAGCGGTGGAAGCGTATAAATGGTGGCGGCTATACGGGTACAGTTATTGTTTTCACGTGAGCATCGTTATTTGTTTGTTATTGTCTGTTTAAAACCTGGGATATTGAAATTTGCGTTTCTACTGAGATTTATTGGTTGGTATCGTTGCAGGTAAGATTAGTAAAATCAGATCGATCATTGAGTTGACTGAAAAGAAATGTTTATAAAAGGTATCTGTATAAATATATAATATTGAAAGAGTCGAGTAGATCGTAATATAGTCAATAATAGTGTTGATATTATCAAAAGACGATCACACTCTTTGGAAAGTGAATAATCACAGAAACGAATCTCTTGTTAGTAATAAATCTATTCCACTTGTCTGACCACTAACGGACCACGTTCCACTTGTCTGGTTCACAAGAGCCACTATTCCACTTGTCTGACCAGCGAGTGACCGTTACTACTCGCCCGACGAGTCGTGATACCCATTCCCCTTGTCTTAACCGTGGTGGACCTATACTACTTGGCTGACCAGATCTATCCTTATTCTACTTGTCTGGTTGGAGACGTCCCCATTCCACTTTCCTGCTTCGGAGGAGTTTCTGTTTCAATTTTTTAACGAAGAGTCTCTATTACAGTTTTTCGATCTGGAATAGTCGCTGTTCCCTTTTTCCAATGTGGTATGGTCCTTATTCCTATTATCTGACCACTGACGGGCTCTATTCCACTTAGCGAATTATAATTGCTTTAGACTATTTGTGCAATCGCGATCTATCCACTGAACTTATCTGATCATTAATAATTTATTCTGCTTGCCCAATCATCCCTACCTACATTTTGCATAATTAACTATAATTTAATCCCATTTTCCAACAATCGACTGAAGTTTGTAGTCCCTTCTCATTTAAGTTCTTGCATACCAAATGGCGCAACAATGACGTACTTCCGTGTCGCCGTCATGTCGCCAAGAAGGAATCCAGTCGTGCACCATCCCTCTGGGCAAATGAGATACTCGCCCGTTTTTACAGTGTCTCCAACGCTTGTCGTTATTTCCCTTGCGAGCCCGTTACCCCTATTCGTCTCTCTCTTCGATAATTGAAATGCTGATTATAAAGCAACGAAACGACCAAAGTGTCCCGGCAAAGAAACTTTCCTCCGCCGGCCGGGAAACTTGGGAAAGTTGAATTCGATATTC